CTCCCCCGGGCCGCCCCCCCCCAGCTCCCCCAGCCTGTCCTCCCACCAGAGCTGTTCCAGCCCTCGGAGCATCGCTGGGGCCTCCTCTGGCCCTGCTCCAACAGGTCCATGTCTCTCCTGAGTCAAGGGCTCCAGAGCTGGATGAGGCACTGCGGGGGGGTCTCCCTAGAGTGGAGCAGAGGGGCAGAATCCCCTCCCTTGCCCTGCTGGCCACGCGGCTTTGGGTGCGGCCCAGGATACGGTTGTCCTGGGCTGTAAGTGCACATTGCCGGCTCATGTCCAGCTTTTCATCCACCAGGACCCCCAAGTCCTCTCATCAGGGCTACTCTCCATCCCTTCATCCCCCAGCCTGTGCTGATATTGAGGGTTGCCCCAACCCAGGTGCAGGACCCTGCACTTGGCCTTGTTGAACCTCATGAGGTTCACATGGGCCCATGCCTTGAGCTTGTCCAGGTCCCTCTGGATGCCATCCCATCCCTGAGGCATGTCAACCGTGCCACTCAGCTTGGCGTCATCTGCAAACTTGCTGAGGGTGCCCTTGATCCCACTCTCTTGTTTCACTGATGAAGATATTAAAGACTACTGGTCCCAGTACAGACCCCTGAGGGACACCACTCCTCACCGGTCTCCATCTGGACATGGAGACGTTGACTACTACCCTCTGGACGTGTCCATCCAACCAATTCCTCATCCCCTGAACAGTCTACCCATCAAATCCATCTCTCTCCAATTTAGAGAGAAGGATGTTGTAGGGGACCATGTCAACGGCCTTACAAAAGTCCAGATAGATGACATCGTTAGCTCTTCCCTTGTCCACTGATATGGTCACTCCATCCTAGAAGGTCACTATGTTGCTCAGGCAGGACTTGCCCTTGGTGAAGCCATGCTGGCTGTCTCGAATCACCTCCCTGTCCTCCATGTGCCTTAGCATAGCTTCTAGGAGGATCTGCTCCATGATCTGCCCAGGCACAGAGGTGAGGCTGATGGGTCAGTAGTTCCCTGGGTCCTACCCTTTTTAAAAATGGGTGCAATATTTCTCTTTTTCCAGTCACCATAATAATGGTTTAATATCATTTTTATTGTATCCAACAGAAACACTAAGAGTAACAAGTGAGTTTATGTTTCAGCAAGCAGATTTAGGAAGACTTTTACATATCTAACAATAAAACAAGGGCACTGCCACCTCCATAACTGGAGGTTCTTTTGAGAACAACTTGATAACCCCCCAGTGAAAACAGTGTAGAGCTGCCCATACTAGCGGCAGGTAAGACAGGCTGAGCAGTTTTCTGCAATTATGTCTTAAAATGAACACAGACAAACCAGGTAGGTCTTAACCCCCACCCAAAACTGGATAAAAGTTTAGTACTGAAGATTTGCAAGTACTGTACTTGCAAATACGTGAGCAATGAAGCATAACCCTTCTGATAAACTAGCCAATATTTCGTTGTGTCACCCACTCGAGGTGATCATAGCACGAGAACAACATGGCAATGCCGCAGACACCTTCCTCTAAAATATCTCTGTTGCCTTTACAGATACACATCTCTGGGACATGAACAAAAGCAAGGCCATTCCTACCTGCCTAGAGCAGCTACAGTACCTTTCTCGGGAGCGGGCATTGCACTTGCAAGTTCACATTACACCAATCAGTCAGAAAGAGAAGATGCACCTGGAAAAGCCACCAGACCAGGCTGCCAGGGAAACGCCCCAGGGTTTCAAAACCCAAACAATTCTTCCTCCTTTCTGTATTGACAGTAGGGAGTAGTTAAAGTAATGGGTTGTTTTGGCTTGGGCTGTGGGTTTGTTTTTTTTTTTTTTGGGGGGGGTGGGGTTTACTTATAGAGTGTAATTCTCTGTTTTTCAAGATGTTGCAAAGGGTCAATCCCATTCACAAACCCAACAGAGGAAGTAGTTAAAACCAGACTGAGAGCGATAAAATACCATGGGGGGATTCCTCTAAGGTAAAGAAAGCAGAAGGGCAATCAGCTACGTTACAGACACATTTTAGCGTTAAGAAAACCCTACCATCCCAACTTTTTTTTTTTTTTTTTTAAATCCCAACCGTCTCGAGGAAAACCAGTACTGGTACCAGTATGTTTTATGAACACACACTGGCTGCTTTTTCCAGACCCTGGAAGAGTTATAAACGAAGTCATTCCCAGCTGAGTGTTAAATACGAGTCCGATTTCCCGGAGAAGCAATCGAACAAACCTTTTTCCGGCTTCGGGCTGGATCCAGCCACTAGGCACCTCAGCGGGCCTCTGCCGGCCTTCTGGTGTGGTAGGTCTCGCAGGCCTTTGCCCTAGCTCCACAAGGTTCGGGGTGGGGGTCAGGATCAGGTCGCTGTCGCAGCTCCTCTGCGGTTCCTTTCCCGCGGGCACCCCGGAGTTCTGCTTCTGCTGCAAGGCCTTGGCCTTCATCCGCTGGAAGATTTTGGCCGGGGACTCATAGACGG